TGAGAACATATTAGCTAAATAAGTACGGACCCGCTATGATATTCGGATAAGGAGATAAACTTCACTCATCAACAGTTTTGCAAAGTACTCCAGGCTAGTATTGCTCTGCCAATCAGGGCTAATAGTATCCTACCTATGACTTAGATCCTATTGAAGTTACTATTGGAGATACTGTTGAGTACTAATTAACTCTTAATAAAATCAAATAATGCTAAGGTCAAGTTACATCCATTACCTCCATTTATGATGAATTCGGTTTGGCATCAAGAACAAAACCTAATGCTTACATAACGATAAGTGCTATTTCTTAAAACAGTGCCACAATAACAGTCAATGCAGCAGACCCTTTAATTTAGCCTGGCTACAGATAACTCATTATCACGGCTTGTTTTCCTGCATCTCCATCTCAATTATGTAATACAGAAACAGCACTTCCATTGATAGTTTGGCCAAAGTAAATTATCAAAGCACCAATGACTTAACCATAAGCTTGCAAATCATAAAAAAAATATCCAAAAACATTATCAAGTTACAACTCTTATGTTATGTATTCAGAAGCTGACCTTGATAAAGATAACGGTAATCATGTAATATGTGGGCGTATATAAAATTCACCTTATAAGCCTTAGCAATTTAATACAGCTGGAGGAACCTACTTATGCTTGATTGTTTTCTCTGATATAAATGGACAAATCTACTGGGGATATTCTATAGTATATCTTGTAACATCATAAAATTCTCAAATAAGATCTTGTAAAATTAGTGCAAACAAAAACGTCTATGGATTATTTGTACTAACTGAACTGACATATTTTGCATTAGTTAAATTTGACTATGAAACTGGCAGAGTTTACTATGTCAAGAGGTTACTGCAATCGTACTAAATTTCATATCCAGCATTTTTTAGAATTCATATGGATCCAGTTTATGATCATGCATATATAGTTGCTCCTAAAAGCGATGAATCAAGATATAATACACATATGAAAATTGATTTGACATTAGAATATCCTGTCCATGTTTGGACATATAGTATCACAACTACAACTGGATAATTTAATTATAATACTTGCAGAGTAAGTTAGATAGTTCCAACAGATACAAAATTTTTATAT